TGAAATTTGAAAAATATTAGGCCAAATACTCACCATGCCTTTCCAAAAGCTTAAATCTGTGTTTCTAACGCTTATGTTGTTGTTGTTGTTGTTATTATCTCTATCATACTTCCCCCGAATAACTTGTCTCTAAAGTTCATCCTTGCCATTATGTAGCTTTTAAGCTAATTTAGACATGAAAGCTTCATTTTTGGATTCAAGATTGTGCAACCCCAAACCTCTTATCTTCTTCGGTGTTGTGATCTTACTTCAATTGACAACATGGTATTTCCTTTTATTATCCTCATCTCCCCAAATGAATTGTCTCTAAATCTTATTAATCTCATTGATGCAGGTCTTTGGGATCACAGTTATCATCAAAGGATAGATTGGTAGTGCTTCTATCACACTCTTAATTAACGTTATTCTTCTTGCAAATGCAAGTTGTTTGCCTTTCCACACTGTCAGCTTCAAATTAACTTAATCAATGACGTACTAAATATCACTCCTTTTAGGAGCTTTACCAGTCAAAGGCACTTCAAGATACTTTCCAAGAGTGTTTGTTTCAATAAAATCGACATGTGCACCAACTGCTCCCTTCGAGCTCTACTAACATTCTTAGAAAATAAGATTCTCGTCTTTTCATGGCTAACTTGTTCACCAAACATTCTACAAAATTTGTTCAAGATTCTATTAACACATTGCATTTGGTTTGAAGTTGTCTCTTCAAAGAGGAGAAGTTTATCAACAAATATTAAGTGTGACACCAAAGGGCCTCCTTTACCATCTCTAATAGGTTTCCATTCACATTAATCTACTGCATTCATGATGATATATGATAGCTTATCAATACACAATACGAATAAATAATGCGATATTGGATCTCCCTAAAAAAATACCTCTACAAGGGCGAAAGCATTCAGATGTTGAACCATTCATCTTGATGTTAGATTCAACGCTTGTCACCCCATGCATAATAATATTGGTCAGTTGAGCGGGGAGTGTAATTTCCTCCAAAATTTTCTAAACAAACTCCCAACTCAACTTATCGTAAGATTTCGATAAATCCACTTTAATAGAAAAACACATTTTCTTCCCTTTCATCATATTCATACTATGAACAATCTCTTGTGCAACAATAGTATTCTCGTGAATACTTCTTCCCAACACAAAACCAGATTGGAACAGAGAAACAAGGATCAAAATGCTTGCCTTGGGCCTTTCTACAACAATCTTGCTCACCAATTTGTACAAAAAATTGCATAATGAAATGGACCTTAAATGAGTAATAAGCTTAGGATGTTTCATTTTTGGGATCAGGCATATATTAGTTTGGTTGATGGTTGACATTTCACTATGATTCTTCCAAACTTTTTGGATGAACTTACAAACGCTAGTGCCAACAACTGATTATGCCCTTTAGAGGTGTTCGTTGGTTCGGGAAAATCTGAACCAAACCAAACCAAGGTGTTTGGGTTGGACATTTTTTTTAGTTTGGACAAACACCAAACCAAACCAAACCAATGAAACCCGATGTTAATTGGTTCGGGCATCGGATTTCTAAAATTCTACCCACAAACCCGTCTACCCGAACCAATCATAATTAATTCGCATAATTCATATGATCCTTATCATGGAAACTAGTATAAAGTATTCAACTTCAAAAAAAATGAAACATTATTTGATTCGTTAACAACATAGATAGATAAACAAAAAAATTAAGAATTTTATAATATTATGGAAAATTAATTGATATAAAGTTATTGTTTTAAATATTTTTACACGTTTATTTTTAGTGTATTCGATCAATCCAACCCAAACAAACCCGTTGTTTCTCGGTTTGGTTCGGTTTTGGGCTTTATCACAAAAGTTTACAAAAGGAATTCAAACCAATCCATATATTTTTAATCGGTTTAGGCATCAGATTCTCTTAAAACTGAACCAAACTGGCCCGCGAACACCCCTAATACCCTTTAAAAGAAACCTGCATGAAACCCATCCAGACCAAGAGCTTTCCAAGGGTTCATGAAGAATAACGCATGTTTGACCTCCTCCTTGGTTAATTGTTTCCCAGGATTTTCCTTTATCACTGGATCAAGTTGAGGAAACGAGTATGGAGTCTGCTTCGACTACATTCTGGTATCATTCAACACAAACAACTACTTATAGTGATTAATGAAAAACTGCCTCACTTGGTTTTGATCCTCCACCCAAGTGCCATTTGCATTCTTAATCATAATAATCTTATTCCTTCGCCTTCATTGGATAGTTTTGAGATGGAAGTACCTTGTATTCTATCTCTATCAACCAACAATTTGGCCCTAGATCGTTGAAACCACATTTTCTCTTCTTTCTTAAGGATATCAAATAACTCAACTTGTAATTTTTGCTCCAATTTCCTTAAGCCACCAACATTACGTTTAATTTGGATGTTTCTTTGGATACCTCCTATCTTTGAAAGATCACAATTTTCTGTCTAGTAACTTGGTTAAGGGTGTTAAGCTTCCAAGTTTTAGCTCCTTCTTTAATTTGATCTAAATTATCCAGTATGGTCTTATCATTTCTCCAATTCTCCTTAAGCATAACATGATAAGAATTCTCAGATAGCCAATCACTTTCAAAATGAAAGTACTGCTTGCTAACTTCCATACACGACTGATACAGGCAGACAAGAATAGGGCGATGATCAAAGAATTCATTTCTTGGAAATACCTTCACATATCCTTCAGGGAATTGCAATATCCAGTTATCGTTGCACATAGCCCTATCAAGCCTCTCATACATACGTTGTCCACCATTAAAAATTGGCCATTTCTAAGTGTATTTTGCACTAACAACCCTCATGTCAATTAGACCATACTTCTCAATCCTCCTCTAAAATTTGTTGCATCTACTTTGAGACACTGGCACACCTTCTCTCTTCTCATAATCATATGTGATATCGTTGAAATCTCTAACAATAAACCAAGGTCCCTGGTTTGTCTCACTAATCTATTTTAAATCCTCCCATAATAGCTTCCTATTTTCAGCATTGGGACTAGCACATACAATAGTAAAATTCCACACTTGACCATGTTAAAGTTGCACTATCGTATCAATGAATTGGAATTTCGTGTGAACCAAGGACACACTCACATCTTCCTCCTTCCATACTATCGTAATTCCTCCAACAAAGCCATGATTATCAGTAGAAATGAAACCCTCGAAACCTAACTTCTCAAATGCCTTCTTGAGTTTCAACGACACACACTGAGTTTCAAGAATGACAAAAATTTTAGGTCTATGCATCATCATATATTTCTTACAATTATGAAATAAACTAGCACTTGCTTCACCTCTGTAATTCCATACAAAAATATCATGATTGGATTTAATCATGGATAACAAAATTGTGAAACATGACATCCATAACCACTACAATTACCGGAGAGTTTCTGCCACAACCTCCATATGCTCTTCATTAAATTCTTAAGTGTGTCCTTGACTATTGTCTCCATTTCCTTCTTCATGCTCCTTATTAACTATAACATCTTCATGTTGATTTGTTACATTCTCTGCATGAGGAATAAGGCTTCCATCTGGTGGTCTAGTTGGATTTGGAGCTTTAATGACTTATACAACTTCTATTCGTCCACCTTGAACATTTTGTCTTCCACCCAATTAGATAGGTCCATCTATGACATTTGTCATGGAAGCTATCCAATTGTCTATATCAGTCTCACCAAAAATTTCCTCTAGGTTGCTCGCTGACACCATGTGATTCCCTATAGCATTCCCTTTAAAAAAAATTCATTAGACCTGCCATGTGTTTGCCTCACTTATCATTCACACCCTTGCCACGATTTTTATTAGTTACCTTTTTAGAAAGTTTCCCTATTTCAATTTCCACCACTTGGACAACTTGTTTTGCCTTCTGCACCTGGGACCCACTATTGTCCTCCAATAACCCATGACTCTCTTTGTTTGGGACATGTTTAACTGTAATTGATTGGACCTGTCTTGCCCCTCCTTAATTTAGTTTACCGTTTTTAATTTCATTAACTCCCTCAATCATTTGCCTTGGTACATTCTATGATTCTTTGTCCCCCTCATTAATGACACCATTCAATGCATTAACTTTGGATTCTGACCCATCCAAATTTGCATTAACTCTCGCTGACAGCCTTGTGGCTCGGAAACCACCACCGTCTTCAGCCATATTACTCTTGCTATTATTTCTTGTATTTCCCCCAGTTTTCTTCATCCGTCTTGGCTTTTGGACAATAGCCCATAGACCCTCTAATCCTCCATGATATTGAGTAACATTCTCCTCCCTTTCTTGCACCTGATCATCACCATTCAATGTACCTTCCACCCTCTGCACATTTTTATATGGGCACCCTTCCTTATAGTGGCCAAAACGTTATCACATTGTGCAGAGAAGGTGTAATCCTTCATATTCAATTTTGTACTTCCTTTATTTAATAGTGAACATTACAAGCTGGGGTTTAGCCAAATTCACTTAGGCATATAACCTGACATATTTCCCACATTCATGTGTCAAGGTGTTTTTGTCTACCTTCATCGTCTTGCCAATTCTATTGCCTATGAAAGAGAGTACCTTAGTATCATAATACTCTATCGATAACCCATATATCCTCACCCAAACTGCCACGTTCTCAATGGTATCGCTAGTTGGATGGAAATCAAAACTCCAAGCCTTGACTGTAAGATAACGGTCATATATAAACTAAGGCCCATTGGCAAGTGCTGAACTATGATCTTCATCATGAGAAAAAATAACTATGAAATAGTCATTGCTCAAGTCAATGATGTTGATCACTCCTTTCCTGACCCACATTTGTTTCAGTCTCGCCTCTAAAGCCTTATAACCAATCCTTCTTCAAGCAACTTGACTATGACTCTTCTCTTCCAAGGTCTATGGATTCTCCGTTCTTCATGCTTGGAGAATATGAATTTAAGGCAAGCATATTGACCTTCAACATGCTCCCCAACCTTCATATTTTCCAAATCAAGGATTGTCATCTCCATATCCCCTCATTCCCAGTTGAATTTCCTTCCTCCTCTGCATTGCCACTTGATGCTCCTAGAACCATCTCCTTATAGGTTATGCCTCCCATGTTCCCTTTATGCAGTGAACCATCATCCTCTACTACTTGTTTTCCATGGTCTTTGACTTTTTTTGTGTTCCTTTCCTTGGTGTCATATTCATCTTTGTTACTCCCTGTAGTCTCCGAATTTTGCCATAACAGAGCATCCATCTTTGTTACTCCTTAGTCTCTGAATAACTCGAGGTTTTGGTTCTTTCCAGTGCACTTTTGAAAGTCTTAAAAAATTCAAATTATTTAAACTATATAATGTAAGATTCATCTCAATGAAATCAAATTTTAATTTAATGATTTTTTAAAAATAAAAATAACCATATTTTAAATTAAAAAAACTCAAATAACTAACATTTTAAACAACTTATCAAAGTAACAACTTTTTAAACAAAAAAAAATTGTTACATAGAGGATGAGCCACTACTTGTGGCGCATGTACTCTAAATTAGTCATAGGCATCCATGCCTTTCGCTCATGCATTAGTGTGATGCTAATGGCTATGACGCATACATGCAGGCAATAGAAGCATGCGCCATAAGTACGGGATCATATGTTATATTTGATTAATTTTTTATTTTAATTATATTAACAATAAAATAATAATAAAATAAATGTTAAATGGAAAAAAAGTTAAAATATTATTCCATAAAATAGAATTACACAATGATCGGAGAGAATTTTAATGATCCACTCTATCGTAACGCCCACTAGATTCATACCCCGACGCATTCGTTTGCCTTTGAGGCCTTCCACGATTTTCCTAAGTATTCGCTTGAGGTAGAGGTGTTTGGTGTGATATTCTTGTGATATTTGTGTTATCTAATGAAATACGAATCATATCTCTCCAGTAGTCCGCATTGTCGCAATCAACTCTCTCCGGTAGTCTGTGCTGTCGTAATCAATTTTGGTGTCCATATTGTCGTAATTGAGTCGTGTTGATTGGGTTACATATGAGCGGGCGGATTGGTTGAATATAAATATTAATTCGTTTTGGAAATAAAGAAAGAAATGATTTTTGTGGTGTTTGAATAAATGTGTTGGTCGAGTGTTTTGGCGGTATGAAATTTAAGTGTTTTTGCGGTGTGACATTTTTTAATCTTAGTTATCTTTTAAAATTGAATAAAACCCTTTTAGTCATTAGTTACCACTTACTTCAGATTAAACTATACACACTTTTCAACTAGTACTTGCCAATGTGAAAAGACACCACATCTCATTTCTCTCACTTTCCTTATCCCCTACTTTGTAATCTAATCATGCATTTTCCGGTACCAGCACTCCGGTCCTCAGCCCTCAGCAACGGAGCACTGTTTCTCATTCTCCCACTTTCACATTCACATTCACATTCCTCCACTTCTTCCTATCCTTCAGCATTGGGCATTGGAGCTACTCGAAGTGTGCTTCCGAGGGTTCATGTTGCCGGAGGAGTCAGATTCGACGGGACACTACCTCTAAACGACGACGTTGAAGATTATGAAGTTGTTTTCGAGCACTGCGTCACGCGGACTCTGCCTCCCGCGCTTACATTGGAAGAAGGACTTCAGAAATTCAAAGACGCTCTTGAAATCTTGAAGCTCTCCCCACCTCCTAGTTCCACTGGTTTCCTTAGGTTTCAGGTTTCTCTTCCAATTCATTCATCAATGTCTAACCTAAACTGTACTTTTCTCTTCTTTTTAGCCAAATTACGAAATGAATATTCTATAGTATATAGTATGCTGTGAGGTCATGCAAAGCAGAGGTGAAAGTTGGGGGAAAATGTTAAAATGATGATCTTATGTGGATGTATGTATTTGATTGTTTAGGTGGTTGTGCCTCCGAGTCCTAAGGCGTTGAGTTGGTTTTGCTGTCAACCGGAGTCATCAGCAGTGTTTCCTCTAATTTTTGTTTCCAAAAACATGGATAATCCCACATGTAAGTCACTGTACGTGAATGGAAGCCGCGGAGTTTTTGGCATTGGTGCTGCGGTTTCTTTTGTACATTCTTCTGCCGGAAACAAAAGTTTGATCAAAAGGTCAGTTACTTCAACCAAATTTTTGTTCCTTTTGGTTCTATCTTTTCTCCCTGGCATGATGGCTGGAGATTTAAGTTAATATTTATTGAGTCTTTTGTGGAAATGCTGAGGAGATCATGGCTATAAGAAATAGAATGTGAGTGGAGGGCATAACAGTAAAATTGTGTTTGGTTGGGGTGAAATGGGGGGAGTGAAGGGATTATTTTAAATCTTTCTTGTTTGGTTTCTTTTTGGAGGGGATAAGATCCTAAGTCGGGTTTGGTTCCTCTCATTGAATCGGAGGATTTGGAGGCGAGAGAAGGTGAGTTTATAAAATCACAAGTGCATTGACTAATATATTTTTACTTTAAATGTCTCGTGAAATATTAGAAAGGTGTAGAAAAGTAAATTAACATGTCTCCTCCATTAATATTCCTCCCCATCTTTAGTGAACCAAACAAAAGAGCATTGGTTATTTTCCCTCCCCTCTTATCTTTTGAACAAAAAAGACACTAAGAAGGGTTTAAGTTGGCGTGAGTAGAGGTGGCAATGAAATCCATTTAGATAATATCCATCCAATCCATCCAATAATTTATCCATCCAATCCATCCATAAGACAAAAAATAATTTAATAGATTTGATCCAATCCATCCACTAACTCATATGGATGGATTCAATCCATCCATCTCATTTTATAAATCCATTGGATATTATGTTGTCACTTATTAAATTAAGAATTTTTAAATTAATTTTTTGGATGGATGGATATCCATCCATTAGAAATATGTTAATGGATGAATTTTATCTTTTAATGGCTGGATTGGATTGGATTTTTATTAAGAGAGTTTAGTGGATTGTTAATGGATTAATGGATTGCTTTGATCCATCCATTAACAATTCAATTCATATCCATCCAATCCATCCATTTTGCTACCCCTAGGCGTGAGAAAAAATGAAGATATGAATGTGTAGAAACTTCTGATTTGTTTCTCATGAAAGCATAGTATAAGATACAGCCCGGGTTAATTTCATTAGTTAAAACTGACCATTAAAAATCAGCAAGGGATGCAAATGCATAGGTGCTGTTCGTTGAGGCATAAACCCTGGTGCAGTCTGTGGTGGATCAAGGGGTGACGGGAAATATTAAATCAGATTTGGATCATAGCAGAACTTGACTTGGTGTTCCTGCGTATGTATCAATGAGTCATGCAAACATTTATCTGTTTAAAGGTGTCATGAAACTTCATTAATAAGTTGATTGTGATGTTATCTTGTTATTCTTAGAATTTACTTATTTTGAACTAACCAAAGAATGACCTTATTTCTACAGATACATCTCAACTGATTCAACCAATATAGTGGCTTATGGTTTCATGGATATTAATTTAGATAATGATTCAGTTTCCATGAATCGCGAGGATGGTTGTTTTAGCCTTTTCATCCCCCAGGTATTTAAGTGTTCTAGTACTATAGCCATTATATTAGTGTAAATTGTTGACTGTATATCATTTTATTCTTTCTGTTGCATTTCTTTCCAATAAATATTTACCATGTATTCTTATCATCACAACAGTTATAATATTGTTTGATGGTCTCATAACTAACATTTAAATTTTAATTTTTGTCATGATAGATTGAGTTAGATGAGATGGAAAGTGTTTCTATTCTGACAATGACGCTTGCATGGGATAACTTTTCCCTTTCTAATTTTGGAAAAGCTCTTCATTTGCTTGAAGTTTCTCTAAACCAGGTGCTTGCGATGCTTTCGTTATATATTTTAGTTTGTGTTTGATTAAGTTTTTTATACTAGTGTTACAGCCTACGGGTTATTGATAGGTAACAGTAACACCATTAATTAGTTATTTAGTGGGTTACTGAGAGTTAGTTAGAAAGTATGCGATACTATGTTATATATAAATAACAGTAAAAAGAGATTATAGAGGTTACCTTTTGTTTTGGAAAGGAATTGCGTGGGAAGCGTTACATCTCTCAATACCTGGAATGTAGTAGCGTTTATTACTACCAGTAAATTTTGATTTAGTTCCTATTAGTTACTTATTATTTGCGTTATGGGTTATCACTGAGTTATACAAAATCACATGTGCCTGGTCCAAATGTTCTTGTACCGCACATATTTGTCAGCCCTGGAAGGCAGCACGTTGCGGCTGACCCTAGTTATGCTATAGTGGGACTGAGACTGTGGGATTATATGCTGCAGTGTGACTTCTATTTCGAAGTTTAGTGAGACAAGGTAAATAATTTATGATTTCATATTTTTTTTAACAAGATTATTCAATATTAAAGACTTTCATAATCAATACTAAAAAGTTTTAGACCTGCCAACAGAGATGAAAAAATTACTCACTCTATGGACTATACAAGAAGGTAGGATATTAAAAAAAGAGACCATCCTTGTCAAGCCATCCTTTGAGAAAAATCTCATTGGAATCTCGGCGTTTAGCAAAGCATAGATTAGGATGGAATTCAAAGTAGACTTGATTGTCTATGGCAAACTGACTAATACTTAGAAGATTTTTGGTTATAGTTGGGACATGTAATAGATTATTTAAGACTCGCTGAAATTTAGAGTTTAAAGGAGAATTAAATTGTGTAGAACCAGTTAAAAGGACAGACAAGCCTCGGCCATTGTCAATGATATTTTGATCAGGCCTTCAAAAGGTGACAATTGTTGGATGTTATGAGCATTGGAGATGATATGGTGAGAGATGCATCTGAATCTGGGTACAAATTCACTGAATTTGCAGAGTCATATCAAAGTTAACCATCATTGCCTGTGGCCTAGGCTGAGAGGTACCATTTATGGTAGCCATCATGGGAAACTGAGGAAAATTAGGGAAACCCAGCAAGCACAGACATAAATATTAAGAGAAAAAAAGCAGCCACACACACAAACAGAATGATTGTTTTATTAATTGATGAAATAGTGGAATTACAGAAAGAGAAATGACCCTAGATCTGACACAGAGCAAGCTCCTATAGGTGGCTAGAGCCTCCTATTCATGATTAAGCAAACAAAATATTTTCCAAGGTAGTCCTCTCAACCTCTCACCCATTCCTTATATTGTGGAATCGTACAATCATTCTCTCTCTGCACCTCTAACAGAATTACTGCTCTTTCCCCTTTTTTCCCCTTCTAGAATACACTCTC